TTAGAGCTCATCGCGACATAAACATTTCAAACACATAAAGTACCTATCCAATAGCTACCTGACTAAAAATATCTAACACTGCTAACCTTGAAGCAGAGCACACAGGAGCAGACTTTGAATCTTACTAAACTGCATTACTAACACACATTAAATTCTAATAATTATCTGACTAATTTATTAATTTTTAACACAATAAAAGTCAGTTATAAAATGTGCGACTGAAATAATTTTCCACATTCTGTTCGTTTGCTAACCTATGACTTACAAAAGGACTCACCGATTCCGACCTGACCTCAGAAACAAACACAAGCTTTCCTAGTTCACATAAATGTGTGTGTGTGTGTGTGTGTGTGTGTGGGCGTGCCTTTGTATTACTGTCGTGGCTAGAGTGGTAATGCCTACTAAATTAATTCAGACAAACCATTACAATTTAAAGGATCATTTAATATTACAATTATTCTGAATAGAGTAGTATTTAAACACATAATCTTGTAGTTAGGGAACACAGAACAGAGACTCTCCTCTTGCAATGGAATAGATAAAGCATAAGAAGATTGTCAGAAGCACCAGTCAGTCAGCGTCTCCCCCAGCTGGCTGGGTCCCCAAAAGGTACATGGTTTACTGTTCACGGTAGCATGGTCATCCTCTCTCCCCCTTCTGCTGGTCTAACCCAGCCTTTATCTGCTCATACTCACACAGCTCTGCACGGCCGGAGCCATGAAGACGCGGTCCCATGCCAGCTACCCACACACACCTTTTTCCGAGCATTGTCTAAACTGTCCGGTACATGACCTTCTAGGTCACGTAGACCTAGCGCACATTTCCCTTTTCTAAACCTGGACAGAGCACTCGAATAGTTCACATAAGCTGTATATCCATTCCCTATCAGGAGGAAGTCACTCAGGATGTTGACCCATAAGTTAATCAAGGGGGACACAGATGTTCTTGCCTGCGCCAGAGACAAATCAAGCTTCCGTACACACTGAGCTCACCCTTACGTAACTATTACAAATAATATCTATATGAACTACATACTGTTCCATTACATATTACCTCTGGAATCTGGTTTATTGCTAATCACCACATTACTTACATTATGGGGAAACCTGTTAACACACTCACATTGTGGGGACTCTGCCTTGTGTGCTGCGGTCACTCACTCGGGTAGAGTTTCCTCAAAGGATAAAGTTTCACAAAGACATACCTTTACAGGGTTATACTGTACATTGTTTCTATTTTGGTATTTTGTAACAAAAGCAGCTGTAGTCAGTTTCTCAATAACTTTTGGTACAATACCATAAACATAAATAGGCCTATATGTTTATTTTATTATTTTAAAAACAAAGAGCCATTTATAAAGTTATATGCAAATAAATCATGTTGTGTAGATAAATACAAAATAATGTGTCACATTTCTGAGAAAATTTTATTTTGAGAATTTCAAGGAATCCGAACTGTCACTCGGGTTTTGAGACCTCCTAATACCCCTGTAATTCATACACCGGGTGTAGGGCTGGTCAATGTGGCCACAGATATGATCTCAATTTTACTTTTATTTTAATTGACATAGATAATTATTGATTTACATTTAATACTAATAATGGGGAAGGAAACACTTTTAAGACCTCAAAGGTGCACACAGTGTGTTAAGATGATTATCACATTGGAGCCTTAACTAAAAAGACTGCTGGAAAGGGGGATCAATGGCTTTTTGTAATCTGTCAACTCCATAAGCAAACTGAATGCTGAGTTATGACCAAGTAATTGTTTTGTAGTTGCTTGGTGTAATTTACATGGAATTCTATCAAAGGTAAATATAGTGGACAGCAGTGCACTGTGACCATATTTAAATCACATGAAATGTTGATTTAAATGCGTCTGCTACTGGTCTTTAATTATAGCAGTTTATGTACATTTTAACCATCCTGTTATTTCTGCACATTTTTCAAACATGTAAAGGCTCTATTCTATTATAAAGCCTCGTCCGGTTCTTTCAAAC